ACTCGGAAGAAAAGGCTTGTCTTCTCTTATTTAAGATAAGACAAGAGATGATCTTTTAGTACAATATGTCTCACCACGTTTTTAGGAATAACTAGTTATTAAAGATAAGGCTAAGAAATGACCCATTATAGACATCTTTATTTGTCATCTCTAAATTACATGCAAGACTTAAGATAAGACTATCTTATCAACCATTGTACATGCCCTAACCAGTCTAAGAAATTTAACCTAGACGGATGCCTCAAACGTCCGGGTTGACCGGCACTCTCATATCCAGTCCAAATATGAAACGGATATGAGGCGTTCGGGCGCGTTCACCGACACTGCTGCAGGTCGTAACGGTCCCACGTGTAGCTATTGAAGCTCCCTCTTCTCTCATCGGTGTACCCAAATTTTAGTCCCACATCACCGCGCGAGGCGGACGCCATCCGACTTAAATAGCCGCGCCGACAGATGGCGGCAAGCTTCTCTATTGTTGCATAGGTCAATCAATTCTCGCTGTGTGAACGAGATAACTTAGACACTAGATTGCATCTCATCAACTGATGATTGTTCATCTAGTGTCAAGTTCGTCTCGTTCATATACATTGACACCCCTACTACAATGATAGTGGATTTTTATTTAGTTCATTGAGTTGTATCAACACATTGTGATCAAAAAAAGTAATACTGACATGAATGTTTTCCTCGTCAAGGAAATTTATGGTGACAGTATATCTTCTTAACAAAGAATGCAATGATGTCATATACGTTTTGACAACCCCGCCGGCCCAAGACGGACCTGATGATCATCGTGCATGGCCCTGCACGTAATAGTTGTTTTAAAAATAAGATATGTGGTTGCAAATGATAAAATTTGAGGCTCGTCCGGTCACTGTCCACATGTGTGTCTGTAGACGTTTGAGGGCCCGAATTTACAGGTTTCAACGGTAGATGCTCTCTATTACTACCTCTGTCTCAAAATATAAGAATATTTTTAACACTACACTAGTGCCAAAAATGTTCTTATATTATGGGACGGATGAAGTAGTTAGCACACGCGCACCAGCCGGTTTCGTCCGACACTTAACCGTCAGACAGCGTCGCTCCATCAGACAGAATCTTGATTGACAATATTGGTTTGTTTGGCGCGAGCCAGATATTTCGCGCATAAGATTCGCCATGGATCCTCGTGGTTTTGCGCTGGATCATGTACCCACGGCCCTCTTCCTTTTTCTCCTTACCGCGATGTAGGAGTAGTACTCGAAGGGGAGATGCATGCATGATTGCATATCCATTTCGACCAATGGCGAGCTCGATTAAGATCGAGGAATGGTGGATAGGGACGTGGGAGCCTCGCTCTCGGAGATCGACCGGTAGGTCGGGGGAGGCCGCCCGCAGCCCTGTGCCGGCGGCATGCACAGAGCACAGTGGCCTCGATGAGCCTGTTCCCTGTCTATTGGTCCGTGGATTAAGGCCCTTGAATGCGTGAGCACCCAAGCCCAGCAGCGCAGTCCGCGTTAAGTACAATCAAGGCTGCACGTACGACTACGATCTAAACCCAATTGATGCCTCCATCTGAACGCGAGAAAGGCGCTCAGCAGTGATTAGTGGGCGAGGAACACATGCAGCACGCAGGCAGGCACTGCAGATAAGTGCGAATTGGTTTATCTAAAAGAAAGGTACATAAAATATGGTACTCCTATCCAGAAGATAATTAAGCTGCAAACAGGCCTGCAGCTTGGCGGGAGAAAATTAAGCTGCAGACACGCCTTGGGTACACAGTGCGCGCACTAACAAGAAACCATGGGCTGGCTGGTTTACAGCGGCTCGGGGAGCTGGCCATCCGTGGCATCTGAACAAGACTGCACGCAATGACAAAACACATTGCGTTCGTGAGACTCACTCAGGCTTAGCTTAGCTAGCTGTCTTCACACTGTTGGCCTTAATACGGTATGCAGTGCATGGCGCTGCTACTGTGCTAGTACATACGAGCCGAAGTCGATCTGAAGGCAACAGAAGAATAGGCCCAGTCGAATCCGGATGCTTCTGCCTTACGCTCCCAGCAAGTTCAGTGTATGATTGTATTGTATGCCCGTATGATCAGGCCGGGTCGACAGCACACGTCTATCTAGATTGGCGTGACGTGCTCGCTGGTTTCTCGATGGACCCGTACAGGGATGGAGACTGATAGAGGATTAGGTTCAGTCGCGATCCGTAATGGGAGGAGGGATCGAGGCTCTTTAGTCGTGTGATCAGTAGTAATTAACACTGATCACGATGACGACAAACTGGTGCCTGACAAGCAGAAAATGACGGTGCTAGGCAGTAAGCACCCGGCCAAAGGGCCGGACATCGCTCCCTGTTAGCACTCGTGGCAGAGGGAATCGGTTGTCAGTAAAAGACAATCACCGTCCGAGAGAGATCACCAAGCTTGATTGAGCTGCTCAGAAAAGCAGAGCTGCAAGAAAATTGAGCTACTGGCTAAAATTCAGGAACATTGATTGCCTCGTAAGCTGATGGAGCAATCGAGTCGAGTGGTGTCATCCCGTCCCGTTCCGTTGTGAAGGCGACGCTCGTTTGCTCCGTCCCGTTCGTTCGTTCTCCGGGGGAGCAACTCATCACGTGGCCGGTCGGACGAGCGACGGATGCCGACCTCCGGCACGAGATGGCCACAGCTCAACAACGACCGGCCGACCGCCGAGCGCGGTGGCCGACGGCAGACCAGACGCTCGCGCGGCAGCCTGCATGAACGTACGTGGCTGCTACCATGCCCGGACGATCGAGGTCGCGCCCGCACGCGGAGGTTCAGCTGAAGCATCACCTGCCCTTTTCGGCGCGATGGTTGGTCGGTCGGTCCCCTTGGCCTGGCCACGCCTCGTACTTCCGGACAAAATGATTGCGAGGTCGCAGGTCAGCCATGACGCGGATCGGCGGAGAGCAAGCAGCATCAGTGGAACGTCGCTGCCGGATGACTCGGCACTTCCAGCCTTTCCGGATTGGTGACGTGGAGATAAACTATAGAAGGAGAAGAAGAAAAAATATCTTGTTCGCACTGTTTCACGAGCCCAAGACGACAAAGCCCAGAGCCACAAGAGACCACGCTAAAATATCTTCTAGTCTCAGCGGGAAGCCACAGCGCTCGACCCCACTCATTCGTCAGCGGGGAACGCAAGCGGCACCCCGTCTTGTTTAGTCCCACCTCGCCTAGCGAGGGAGCGTTCGACCGGCTTAAATAGCCAGCTCCACCTTCCAACTCGCCGAGCTCAGTCACGCGAGCTTGTAACCCGAGTGGGGGCTTTGAGGTGGTGTGAACGCTGGTGCAGCGCTGTGGGCCTTGTTTGGGCTGTGCTACTGCTGGCCCGTCCGTTCCAAGTTGAGTAGTGGACTGCTGCGGCCTGTGCGAAAGCTGGGCCTCACGGGCCATAATGTGGCAGGCACAGCGTTAGGCTGGCCTCACAGAGCAGCGACAACTGCCCGCTTCCAACGGTGGAAGGATAACGGGCCGCTGCACACCTGGGCCGCTTGGGCCTCACAGCCTGCTCCAGCGAACCACCATTTTTTTTTATCCTGCTTGTGTGATCATTTTGAAATTCCTCACTCTTCTGCATCCTTATCTGCCTCCTATTTTTTTTACATACTACAAAAACATTTGCTAGTACCATTGAGACTTCATCATATTTTCAATCACACCATTTTGTCATTCTACATCCATCTGCAAACATATGACAATCCTCCCACAAACATGTTCACGTTTAAACCATACGTAGAATGCCTTGGATACAAGACACCAGAAAGCGAAAAACATGGAGATCCGGTCTTGTCCTAGACAGCAGCACATGTAGCCGATCCGGCAATCCCACATATTATTGACTCAATGTCACGGGGTGAAGCACTATTTAAGGAACTATATCGGACATGAGCAAGAGCAACACCTCAAATGGCACCAGCTGATTGTTCTTCGCTTCTCCTGACCCGCTTCCCAAGCAACACAGATAAAAGCCCTAATAACTGGTCTCCTCCAAAATTTCAGAAAAGGATTCTGCTGGTTCAGGGGAATGAAAAGAGTGTATCGACATTTTCTTCAGGTGACCAAGTTCCCAGTGGCAGTTATCTGGGATCCCTATCAGAATATATAGTAGCAACTGGTAGTTCATGCAGTGTTTCTGTCACTATGGCCTTATCAGAGACTAACTAATTCAGTAGCAAATGCAAATGCTGGACATGCCCATGCCAATAAACCTTGGATTGAGGTCAATAGTAAAATAACACTCATTCAGGAAATATGAGAACAGCACCCATGAGCATATATACACATATTTAGCCATTGCCAGAGTAGCTGAGATGACAAGGCTTCCCCTGCTTAAGCAAAATCCTGAAATGGATAAGTACTGCTGACACCTCACCAAGGTTCAGGGTCTAAATTTGCAGGGTTGCGACTCAGCCGTACCATAAAACTACGGAACAAACATATTATCCGTGCTATGTTTGCATGGGCTACACCATAGCAGCCGGAAACGGGGAACGGTAGGCCGTCCCTCGATCCCGATTCATCGACCCGGAATCGGATTCGGGAACGAGGTCGGATTCGGTACGATTCGATGAAGATTCGGCGTCCCCGCAGCCTGCTCCTCGATTCAGGTTTCAGGATCCAACAGCCAAAACGTGAGGCATAATTTACTCACGATGTCGTTTCTTTTCTCAAGAACTCCTCATTCTTCCTCAAGTCCATTAATTGCAAGGGATCCATTAACAACAAGGAATGCTGACCGTCAGGGAGTCGTCGTTCTTCAAGAACTGCGTTCCTCGACCCATGATACCGTACCGGGTTCATCGTACCCAAATGGATTGGATCGCGTCCCCACTATAAAAAATTCGTCTAAGAGATGTATACCCTCGTTGTACCCTATTTTTTTCAGCCACCGACTCTCGTCCCTCGTTCCCGTTCCTTGCTCCCACCGTACCGGAAACATGGCAACTATGGGCTACACACTCTACAAGAAGGGCTTGTGGTTTTCCATTCACAGAGAACCTGTGGCAGGTGGCTTTGGAGCCTGATTTTTCTGGTTGGCTGTAGATTGGGCAGCAGAGGTCTTTATGTTCCCTTCACTCGCCATTGACTTCTTGATCTGGATCGATTGAGGTAAAAGAAAAACCAACATATCAACTCCAAATGCAATGGAAGTATCGAACGAAAGAGAATATACTAATCATACTTCAGGCACATGCAGAAAATGCAGATGGGCTGCCTTAGGTGATGTGTGCTGTTCTATAGCTAGTTCATTTTTTCTTTCAAATATCATTTTATGTAGATTGAGATCCTTGGAGCTCTAAAAGTTATATTTGAGTAGATGCAATCGCAATAATATGTTTACGAATATCATATTTCCAACCAATGACAGAGGCGAGAATTATATCTATAGTTCAAGAAGTAATCATGCGTGAAATAAGGTGGACAGTTGATGTGGTGAGGATGATAAAAAAAAAGTACCAGAGTAAGCCTCTCCCTGTGAATATCGTTGACATGCTGCAGATCACCAAGAGGCAAGGAAATGTCAATATGGGTTACAAAAGAAATAACTACAAGAAGGAAGAAAGAAATATGTTTAGTTAAGAATTACCGGCTTCTTGTATAGTTTTATTTCATCCCCGGTGAAACCTGGCAAGGTGATATTCCAGCTTCTCTCTGCAATGGTGATATTAAAACACAACTGTAATTACACAACCACATTAGCACAAATATTCTAGAAAAGCCAAAATAATTAGGTACCTGCATGAAGGAGTACATCTTTGGCTTCCAAAGTAGTCGACTTTCTATGCTTTGCTAAAGAACAAGCAAATGTTCCAACCTGCTCAAAATAGTTGTCAAAAACAACATAGCTAATAAGAAATCATCCAGAATGCACAAAGGCTTGAGAAACCATGTGTATTTTTCTTAAAAAAGGAAAGCATATTCTGAAAAATAATGATCCTTGGATAAAAAATCACCAAAAGAAAAAAAGAAGAAAGGGACAAAAAACCTACAGATTCAATAAAATCTTCTGCAATGTCAATAAGAACATCTTCAACATCAGGATCCAGCCTTTCCGAAGGGTCGATCTGTGCGAACAAATTATAAGAAAGGTTGGCACTTTTACTGCTATAATGTGAAATGCACAACTACAGAAAATTAGTAAGAGAGTCAATTAATCGTTAAATCGATCAGCCCAGTGATGTTTACGATCCTACAGAGCTCATGCCGAGTAATGTAAATTCAACAAAAATATCTTGTGCAAGTATTTACAAGAGTAATTACTGTTCCACTAAAACCGTACTTAAGTTCAACCATCACTGGAATAGATTTAACACAGATCATTCTAAGCACTTAAATCAATAGCACAATTTTAGGAAGGGGGATTTGATAAAATGAAACATAGTGTGTGATAAAATGACACGCCCCATGTCAGTGACATGTAGGTTCCTTGCTTGGTCCGTGCACTATGCATGTAGACTACATAAAAGTATGTCAAAATATGGCACACTTTGTTCTTTGCTACATATGATCCAAATATGATACATTTTTTTCTTTTTACTACTGAGGACAAAATCTAGTTATTCTGTTTTCGATTTTACAAAAGGATAGCTGAACTTTCAAAGTGTTACCTATCATGTCTTTCTTTGTGCAACTATGCATAGGGGTAGCAAAAGATGAGGCTAAATATAAAATTGTATGAGAACAGAGAAAGCAAGCATTTCAGACAGATATGCAAAAGGAAATATTTTGGAACCAGAATAACACACTAACAAACGCCATTAATCACACCAGTGGAATGAGATGTATGAAAAACTGAAAATATAGGATCTAAGGAAATCTGGAATTGCATAACCTTGCACCTTCTCTCACACTGCAGCTTAGGAGACACAGCATACCTGTGCAAGTAAATCATGTATACTCCTCTTGGAGAGTAGCCGATTACTGGATTCACCAGAAGCTGCATCGGCGGAAGCCATGTCCACAAGCTGCATATTAGTAGCTTGTAGTGTGGCTGGAGAATCAGGCTTCTGAGTCAATGAGACAGGAGTCCGGGCAGCTTGCTGCTGGTTTTTTAGTGTTGTATTTTGCTGATTTTGCTGTGAGGAACTTTGTGGTTGACTTTGCTGCTGTTGCTGTTGCTGCTGCTGTTGTTGTTGCTGCTGCTGTAAAACTTGCTGTTGCTGCTGCTGCTGCTGCTGCTGCTGCAAAACTTGCTGTTGCTGCTGCTGCAAAACTTGCTGTTGCTGCTGCTGCAAAACTTGCTGTTGCTGCTGCTGCTGATGATGCTGAGGTTGCTGCTGCTGTCCTGAAAGTGCATTCTGTTGAGAAGCTACAGGTGCAGATTGTGCAGCATGGTATGGTCTTGGTTGTGGAACTTGTGGCCTTTGCTGTGGAACTTGTGGCCTTTGTTGTGGCCTAAACGGTGAAGACATATTTGCCGGAGTTTGCTGTAAAGACGCCGCAGGGGAACCCATAGACATCGGTCTTGATAAAGAATGCATGGGGGTTTTCTGTGGGAAAATAATTCAATCAAGCACACAACATGACATGAATTGCAATAAAGAAGTTGGTGTATGCCCTCCTAATCTTATGGTACACCGTACAATATGTGGAATCATTCAAGGGGCAACAAGCCTGAATTCATCCTATACTTCTATGGATTACAAATGATTGATCAACATTTAGAAGGTATGTAAATATTCTTTCATATCTGCACCAACATTTATATGAACAAATATAATTTACATACTCACACATTTTGCATATAACCGAAACACAATAATGAAATGCTTACAGGTAAAATTAGACTACATCATTACAAGCAACAGCCTAACAGGCTTCTTACTTGTGAACCTGGCATTTGGCTACCAGATGAAGATGGTGTCGCTGATGATGGAAGACCTGGCCTTGGCTGTTGCGAACCAGATATTGCTCCTGGTCTCATCTGAGACGCATTAAGGGAACCAATCATCCCAATATTCTGGATCCCCGGGGCAGGTTGCCTAAGCTGAAAGCCATAAACATCATTAGGAACAGTTTCATAACTCAAAGGAGAAGGCAGGGTGAAAGTTAATGACAATGAAAGCACTTAGAGATATTCTGCAACCGCATAGTCGTAGACTAATCCTACCGGGATTAGGTTTCCTTCTTCCATACAAAGGACAGGTGGATAACTATATAAAGCCATGAGGTGGTTCACTGGTCTTAGAAACCTAATAAATCCAAGATCTCATTCTAAACAAGGTGGAACCAACTGGGGGTTCAAGAGAAGATTAAAGTGTCGTGTATATAGGACAAGAAACAGAGGGTCCTAAAAGTTGGCCATGGTTGAGAGAGTGACAATCCATTGTGCGCTTGAGGTTGCGTTTAACAGATTAGTACTAGCTTCGCTATAGCTAGGAACATCAAGAAAGTGCAGCTAAGGCCTTGTACAATGCAATGTGCTTAGGAGAGGTGCTTGGAGAAATAAACCAGGCTTTCCTTAAGCACCGGTGCTTATTTGTACAGGGTAGACGCTTAATTAGGCGTCTCTCCTGTAGAAATAGGCACCGGTGCTTCAGAAAAACCCAGGTTATTTTTCTAAGCACCTAGCATTGTTCAGGGCCTAATCACAACTAATGGCTTCCTTGAGAGAGAGAAAATATGCTACATGAGTTCAGTTTTGGCCTCAATTGGAAGAGAACTCCATTGAGCTTATTAACCAGGATTATAAAGAACCGAGTTCAAGAATGAGACGCAGACCTGTGGAGTGGGCAGCGGGGCCTGGTCGGGGCCGCGATGCATAGGGCTGAACTGATGGGCGAGCGGCGGCGGCGGCACGAACCCCGTATAGCCCATGGGCGTCTGCGTCCCACGCGGGTGCGCAGGCAATCCAATCGCAACCCCTCCCCTTGCCATTGCAGAAGCCGCGGAGGAGGCCCCTGCTGTGGCGGCAGAGGAGGAGGAGGACATCGTGATGGGAGAGGC